ATTTGCTTAAGTAAAATCTCTGCAAGACACATCTTGATTGGTGTCAGAGCCAGCGTTTCTGAAAGGGACATTAGGGTCAATGTTCCAATTTTGAAGATGTCTCCCTTTACCAAAAGGTGCAAGGGCGGAGTGGTTTAAAGCAGGGGTGGATGTCGGTATGGCCTGTGTTTGAGTCCCAGTTCTGTTATTTGCTAAGCTGTGCATCCTGTCGTAAATTATGTAAACTCTGTAAGAATCAGTGCTTTCACCTAGAACATGGGGAAGTTGTGCTATCTCAAGAAGAAAATGAGCAATAAATAAGGGAACAGAATTAAATGCACAAAAGGGGTAGGATTAAACTGGTCTGTGTTCACAGGTAAACTTGTGCCTGCAGTCCGCAAATGGCTACACCCTTTAATGGCTGTGGCCCTCAGCTGTTTTCTGTAGGTCCTCACCTGGGCAGAATAGCAATTGCTGATTTTCTGATCTAAAGTGGTGGCCCAAGGGCAGGCTGCTCCCTTCAGAGACACTCCCTCCTCCACACCTTCCAGTCGAATTCCCTGTATTAACTCCCAGGGTTTCCCTTGAAATAACTAGAGGGCTCTTTCCTTGGCCAAAAACTCTGATAGTCTGGAAACTCCCCTAGTCATGTAGCTCCCGTATTAGGGGGGATATCATGGCCCTCCTCTATGAACTATGAAAGGAAAAACACACGTTCTCTGGCTTGAAGTTCTATGTCCTAGACGTTGGCAGGTAATCAGTTGTCGTAGCCACAATGAGGTGTGACACCCTCCCTTCAGCCCCCCATCCAAGCTCAGCTGGTCTTGAAATGGAACAGACAGTGCTCTGTTATCTCTATGAACAAGGCCCAGGAAGCACCATGGGATTTGAGGGGAATGTCGGCTTGGGAGGCCTGGAGATGTGGGTTTGACTCCTGCCTCTGATCCATTAAATAGGAAATATTTGGACCTTCCAGCAGCTACTGCTTCCTATCTGTCATACGGGACTGAGATCTCCTTCACCTGCAGTGGGGACACGCTAATGTTGACCTTGCATTAAGACTCGCGATGTGAACCTGCACTGTAGCACAGGCCAGGTGCTCCTGCCACATACCGGGAACTAGAAGGTGCTGGCAGAGCTGTGAGTCTTTCAGGAATGCTCTGGCTGAGCTCAGCAGGGACGGGAGGGCTTCTGAAAAGAGCTAGAAGTGCCTCTGGAACTCGGCTGAGGCCCCCACCCTCTCCCTCTGATTCCTCAGCTGGGACAGGAAGGTTTGAGTACAGAAAGGCATTAACCCTGCAGGGCTGTGTCTAAGCTGCTGGCACAGAGATACACAGCCGAGTCTTCCAGCTGCAAGTTGTTCATGGTCAGCTCTGAGCTGTAGTTGTTGAACTGTTGAGCTGAGAAGCGATCAGGGATGTTTCCTCTCTCTCTCTCCTCCTTCTCATAATACTGAATGAGGAATTGGAGGCCCTGCCCCTGAGCCTGCTGGTACCAGGACACAGTATCGTGTCCAGACATGGGGTGGCATATCAGAACGGCCTTCCCGTCACGGCGTTTGATTAGGTGTGTTGGGGACTGGGTGACTCCAGCATCCACTGAACCTGTGGAGGAAGGAGACAGACGCTGGAGACTAGCACAGGAAGGAGCTGGACACTCTAGAAACAACAGTCAAGAAGTTTGAGTTCAATGGAGGTCGCTATGAGCTCAGGACTCACCTGCCTCCAGGAGACAGAGGGCCACGCAGCAGAGGAGCCGGGTGCCCCTGGCAGATGCAGACAGGGTAAGGCTGGCCATCTCCATACTTGGGGCTCTGGTCTTTCGGGTGAGAGAGCAGAAGTTTGTTCCTCCCTTTGCTCTGTTTGGAGGGCTTGCCTGTGATGTCACCATTGTGATGTCACTGTCTTTGTAGGTTCCCACAGGCACCCTGCACCATTGCCGCAGGCTCCACTGGACCAGGCCACCCCCCATTCTGTGCATCTCCCTATGGAGCAGGTGTAGCTGGCTGTGCAGACTGGGCCCGGCAGGGTTTGGGGCAGGTGGCCATCCCCACAGCTTGTCTATGTTCCTCAGAGCAGGTGCTCCTTGTTCTCCTCTGGTCTTGGATTCTCCAGGTGCCCTACCGGAGCCCATAACACTCACCTGGAGAGCAGGCTCCAAGAGAGGCCTTAACTCCATGCAGGTGAATTCACGGCTCCATGCTGTGAC